GATCTTGTGACTGGACTTGTGATTGACTCAACTGCAGCCCTAGCACTCACCTGGTCAGTTGTGAACATCGGGGAGAAATGACAGCGGATGCAGGTGTGGAGGACACCATGACCTCGATAGGTCAACAGAGACGTGTCTCCCTTGATGATATTTTTTCTTCTTGCTGTAAGAGGGTCCAAAAAAGGAAAGAAAAGGTTTGACTTTCTGGAAGAATTTGGTCACTCCACAACATGCCACAGCCACATCCTATTCTCAAGTGATCAGACTGTTGAATAAACCAGTTTGCTATTTTTTAGAGCCCAAGGTCATTTGAGAACAAAGCATCTGATGACACGCCAGTTTGAACATGCTCTGTGCCTGCCAGTCAATATACAGCCATACATTCATGTTCTCAAATTACCAGCAATGCACTTCAATTTGAGTTTGCGGTGTCTGAATACTGAACTCCCTCACTGGCGCAATTTCATGCATTGAACAATACAACGTTCAGAGAAAGTATCCGACTGTATACAAATGCTGTCACCATAGTGCTGTTCTCTTTATTTCGGATGTAAAAAGCAACATTCGCTTTAACAAGGCGTATGATGTTTGAATAGATTGCCACCACCCCTTCATGTTTGACGCATTGGTCAAAATGATATTCCATGCTAGCGTCAGCAATAACACACTCGGTAACTTAACACTTCAGTCCTTGAGAACTCCTGGCCAATCAGAATCTCAGACATGGTCATCAACAGTTGGTGACTTAACCAAAGTATTCACAGCTTACAAACTCTAACTTACATCGCCTGGGCACCTGCTGCCAGCGATAGTCCCAGTGCTGACCAGCAACAGCCCTCTTGCAGTTGGCGACTGCCGAGGCAGGAGAGAAGACCCTGAGATCCCACAGCTTGACACTCTGGTCCTTGGAGTTGGTGATGAGGTGTCGTCCATCACCCTGAAATCACAAAAGAATTATCGCCACTTAAGTCCTGTTTGCATTGGACTTGATCATGTAAAAATTATTGCCATGAGCGGGAAAACATTTCACAGTGGCAATTCATTATGATGCAACTGCATTTGGATCATTATCGCCTCACAGCAAGTGTTGAATCAATAATTTACTGTAGCATGCTTTTCAGAATCTCACGAGGGCACCCTGGCTGTGGACTTTGCCTGTGATGAAAATAAATGTATCAGATAAAAAAGTACTCTCTTCTTAGGAATTTTACTGCAAGATACAACTCTCAATGAAACTTCCCTACCACCCTACCTGACATCTGTCCATGACTTGAACAGCTTTGGAACAAGAAATTGCGTCAATACAGAATTTTTAAGGAAATGTAGTCGATAGTGTGCTCTTCTGAAATACGCAACAACCTATAAATCTGATCCATGCTAGAAAAAGAGACAGCATACTGCAGCAAGACATGGCGTTACGTGCACACATGGGTTAACGCACGCCTGGTGAGGGACGTGCTGAACATACATGAGCCATTAATGTTGGAATGTAAGGTTGCCAAGCAGGTGTCTGGCACCCAGATAAAAAATTCCCTCCAAAGTGTCTCTTCCCTCCAGTGAGGGGGTGCTTCAAGTTGGCAAGGACTGACCAAGGTTGACGAAAGACTTTAGTTCATTCATGACATGACAAACAATATCGAATGGAACCAATATGGAATCCAATGTGTGCCCGCCTACCTTGGAGTCCACGCACGTGATCCCGTCCGTGTGCCCCGCCAGCATGCCCACCGGGTCACACTGTGTGTCGCTCAGCATCCTACGGTCCCACACCTTACACAGTCCATCGTCCCCGCCGGAGAAGAGGATCTGCGAGGACTCGTCAGCAAACCGGACAGAGTTGATGTCATCTTCATGAGCATCTATCTGTAATGGTGAAGGTAAGAGAGGGCATGAAAGGAGAGAATAACTATGATTTAACTTTTGGAACTAGATACACTATTTAACCCCCCCCCAAAAAAGGGGTGCAGATGAAGTATTGCATGCAGAAGATGTACATGTAAACTGTAACTTGCGTTCATAGCCAACAGAAATGACTGAGTACTTTTAACTATGGACAGTGCTTTCTGACTCGGGCAAAGCAGTGTTGTAGTCATATGGGCCGGGTCCGTCACAAGGACTTTCACAAGTAGCAGGACAAACAAATGACGGAGGAATACTTAAGTCACATTTGACCTGAATAACTTGAGACGTGGCTGAGTGATTTGTGATGGGCTGTGGTGGACTTGCAAGGATTTGCAATGGGCTCAATTACAACACCAAGGTTGGGTGGTTAAGATATCTGTACTGGGATGATGTGGGTTCAAATCCCACCCAAACGAGCTTATGAATGTTTTCCTCACAAACTCTTGAACTGCAGTGAGTGCATAATGCTTCGGGAAAAAAAATGTCCATAAGGGTACAATCAGATGCTTGTTGCAAAAATCTAGCAATGGCATTACAGAACTCTAGCATGGGCCACGATTTTAGGAATCAAACATGCCCATTGACACGATCGAGTACTTCAGGTTGACATTTAATTTAAAAAAGAAAGAAATTCAGGCCCTGAGAACTCTTTACTGAATGTGTCTATTACAAAGCTTAAAGTCAAACAAATATTTACCCAAAACATTTCATATCAGAAAACTCACCCTCAAGCTGGTATGAACTGTATGAGTGACATTACACAAGCTGTAACATGGTCTTACCCTCATTGTTTATTTGAGAGTGGACATAAGGTCCTACTCAGCTTAAGACATATCCCAAGCTATGTCTTAAGCTGAGTAGGACCTTATGTATATGTCTTAGGCTGAGTAGGACCTTATGTATATGTTTTAGGCTGAGTAGGACCTTCTGTATATGTCTTAGGCTGAGTAGGACCTTAGTATATGTAGGCTGAGTAGGACCTTATGTATA